AGCGCCCCTTCCTCGATTCGCCGTCGCCCCCCGGCCTGGGGGGCGCCGGAGAGATCGGCTGCATGGGCAGAGGCTACCCTGGAGCCGTGCAGTCAAGACGCTGCAAGAAGGAACAGTTTGGGTGCGAAGGGGGCTCGATGTTGCTTAGGTCATTATGTGGTTGTTCCTCTAGCCCTCCTCGTGCACGCTGGCGCTCCGGGGGCCAAAAAGGGGCTTCGTTCCTTATATTTACTGTTCCTTATTTCAGCGCCTCGACTGGGGTCTGGTGTGGGCAGGGGAGCAGGGCCGAGCTTCTCGGCTCGGGTCCCGGGTCGGTCAGGGACGGATCCGGGGCGAGAAGTTGAACCAGATGGATCCCGTGAGGTGTCCGGGGGCAGACCTTGAGCTGACTTGGCCTCGTCCCGCTCTCTGATCGGTTTTTGGGGGGTCCCGACCCTGTCCGATCCCCGCCTCCAAACGCTGACCCTCGTTTTGCTTTTCCCCTACAGTCGGGGCCCTGAAGAAGGAACCCTTTTCGTTGGGGAGGGGCTCCGTGTTCCTTAAGTGTTTCACAGCTCGCCTGAGGTATTCCTTATGTTTTCGACGGGAAATCGAAGGTTAACTTATGGAAAAAAGGGGCCTCGGTCCCTATGTAGGGTTCCTTAGGTCAACGCCTCGACTGTAGTTGATCACGTCGAAAGACCCAACATGTGCCTGGCGCGTGCGCGTGGGGCACGTGATTTTTCGCGCGCCGTGGCGTCAGTGGCGTGGATCAGCGTGGATTGGCAGCGTGAAGTTGGGCCCCATAGGGAGGGGTCTCCCGTTCGAGATTTTCTCACGATTCATCACCACCCACCAAACCACCCCAACCCAACCCGAAGGCCCCAATTTGCCCTCCATTTCCAGGTGGGGGGGGTCGGGGAACATTGAGAAAACACACATGAAGCCCGTACCCCCCCAAACCCGAAATTCGGGTCTTCGGGTTGGGTTGGGGTGGTTTGGTAGGCAGTCAATTCACTCACAGACAAGGCTCCCGCTCGAGGCTTCTCCAGGTTCAGCCCCAGAAACTCACTAGTGATGGCAGTGAACGGGGTCTGATGGCCCGCGCGGATTGGTAACATGATCTGCCGGCCCCATCACGAACGGTCTCCTGTTCGAGACTTCCTCGTGATTCACTCACAGACGATGCCCCCTCTCGAGACTTCCTGCAGATTTAGGCCCCAGGAGCCGATAAGTGGCGACAGTTGCAGGGATCAGATGACCCGCGCTGGTTTAACATGAAGTGCGGGGTCCCATTGGGAAAGGCTCCCGTTCGAGACTTCTTCTTGCAGACAAGGCTCCCGCTCGATATGTCCTCCATACACCCTTCTGAGAAGCCCCAAAGTGACGACAGTTATAGGGAACGGATGACCCGCACGGATTGGTAACATGATCTGCCAGCCCCGTAAGGAACGGGTTTCCGCTCAATACGTCCTCGCGATTCACTCACGGGACAAGACTGCCACTCGAGAGTCCTTCAGACTCAGGCCCCAGGAGTCCAACAGTGACGACAGTTACAAGGATCAGATGGTCCGCGCAGATTGGTAACATGATCTGTGGGCGGGCCCCATAGAGAAAGAGCTTCCGCTCAAGACTTCCTCGCGATCCGCTCACAGACGAAAGTTCCCGCTCGAGATGTTCTCAAGATCACTGTGTGATTATGTGAGTATGTAGGTGACTGCGACTGTGATGATTTCGAGAATTCCGACCGATGATCAGGATAGGATGACGATAGTGATGACGATGTTGTGATGGTGATGATTGGTGTGCGATAAGGGTGGCGATGATTATGCTGATGCTGATGATGATGATTATTTGGATGATAATGCTGCAGATGTTGATGATGTTGATGATGATGCTGATGAGCTTGAAGATGATGCTGTTGTTGTGTGATGCTGATGCTGGTGGTGGTGATGATGATGGTGATGATGATGATGCTGATGATGATGATGATGCTGATGATGATGATGATGATGCTGCTGCTGCTGATGATGATGATGATGATGATGATGCTGATGATGATGATGATGATGATGATGATGATGATGATGATGATGATGATGATGATGCGAGGCGAGGAGGGTGAGGGGGGGGGAGGTGAGGAGGCTCCTGCGCGGGAGTGTCAGAGAAAACATAACCCCCACTCAGGATCCGGGCAAGCGCTGCGACCTCCCGCGCTCGGGGGCCCTTGCCCGGACCCGGGACAAACAGCACCAGCCCCGGGGACGGGGTGCAGGCCTCCCGGGGCCCAGGCCGCGGAGCAAAGCACCTGGCATGGCTCGGACGTGTGCATATGCTTCCTCGGCGAGGACCGTCGAGGAGCATCCTGGATCATCTGGCGAAAAAGCCACGCACGACACCGAACAAAAGCACAGGGAATGGACGTCCGAGCGATGGCCAGGCCGAGCAAAGCAGTGGCGTTTTGGTTTTGGGGGGGGGGGTCTCGGGCCGGCACCTGCTCCGAGACAGGCCAGGCGCCGGGGCTGCGGGCCGCGGGAGGGCCGCGCGGGGAAGAGAAGGGGGCAGAGGGGGGAGCGAGGAGAGAGGCGGGCGCTCCCTCGGTGCCTGCCCCCGCCTTTGTTGCACGTGCCCGCGCCCTCCGCTCCGCAGCGTGGAGCGGAGCAGGCCAGGGCCCGACGAGGGGCGGCGGTGCCACGCGATTCTGCAGGCGCAGCGCTCGAGAGACCCTCCATCTCGGGGAGCTTGGCGTCGCTCGGACGTGTGCGTTTTTTCCCTGGCGAGGACCATCGAGGAGCATTCTGGATCACTTGGCGAAACAACCACGCGCGAAACCGAAACAATAAACACGGGGAATGGACGTCCGAGCGATGGCCAGGGAGGGGGGGGGAAGCTGAGGCGAGCGAGAAGCGGTCAGAACTCGGGGGAACGAGAACACGGACCCGGGCGCCCAGAGCCGCGGCGTGCTTCGCTGCCGTGCAGCATCGGCGCGCTGTGTCCGTCGCCAGGTCTGGCGGCGCGGGGGGCGCCAGAGTATGTTTTGGGGGGCACCTGCCCCGATCCGTGGATCCGGTGCCGACGCGCCAGATCCACGGTTCGCCATCCATGCTGGCGCGTGCCCGAAGAATGCCGAGCAAAACCGTCAAGCTGTCCGAGTTCCTCCCAGCGGCACCTCTGGGCGCGGCAGGTGGCCAATCCCATCGAGGACGTGCCGGGGCGCTTGCAGGTCGCTGGCGAGCAGAAGATCAGAGGAGCAAGGAGTCCTGATAGTGACAGGTTCCAAGGTTTTCAAGGCTTCCTAGATTTCCAAGACTTGCTGACGTTCCACACGGGTTGCAGAAATGGGGGCCGTCAGATAAACTGGAAATCTTGGAACCTATTCCGAGCCAGCCCTATCTTGACGTCATTCTCGTCCTAGAAAGCGGCGCATGCATGTACAGTCGGGGCCCTGAAGAAGGAACCCTTTTTGTTGGGGAGGGGCTCCGTGTTCCTTAGTTTCTTAGTTGTTTTTCCTGAGGTTTTCCATGGAACATCGGAGTTTTACTTATGGGAAAAAGGGGCCCCGTTCATATTTATCGTTCCTTAGGTCAACTCCCCGACTGTATGGCGCTGCTCGTCCTGGAGAGCGCCCTCATCGCCACGGCTGTATACTCTTCCGATGATCTGACGATTTGATCTGGGGCGGAAAAGTGGCCCTGGGGAAGGGATCGGGACCTTGGCATCGCTCGGACGTGTGCGTTTTTTCCTCGGCGAGGACCATCGAGGAGCATTCTGGATCACTTGGCGAAACAACCACGCACGAAACCGACAATAAACACGGGGAATGGACGTCCGAGCCATGGCCAGGGACCTCTGGGGCCCCGGATCGAAGAAAACACACCTGCGGGTACAGGGAAGGGCGGCACAGGCATGGCGGTGATCTCCGCAGTGCGCGTGCGTGCGCGCTCAGCTCCGGAGGCGGCCCGCAGCCCGTGTCGGCCCTCGTTGCGCCGCCTGCGTCGCACTGAGGGGCCTCGGCGTCGGTACACGAGCACGAGTTGGCGCTGCCACGCGCTCTCAGGATCACCGGAAACCGCACAGCATGCCCGCACCTTTTCGGAGGCCCGCTTGGAGTTCTGGTGTCCGCGCTGGAGTTCCCCTGGCGGCACATCTCGTGCGCTGGGGGAGGTGGGTCCAGCGCCACTCCTAGACATCCACGCGAACCTCCGAGGATTTCTGCCTTTGCGGTCGTTTGATTCTTCTAGGTCACCAACTTCAGGCTGAAGTTCCAGCCCTCGAAAGGATGGCGCGGGGGCGTTTTCTCTGCTCGCTGGCTGCCTCCTGCCTCCCCCTGCTTTCTCTTCCTCCACCTCCTCCCCCATCCTTTTCCCTGCTATCGCAGGCGATGTTTCCCCCCCAGCCCCCGACTTTTCTTCGGAAACCGCTCAGAAAAGGAGGGACGCCCTGGGATACACCCCCAGGGAGCTATTCGTACGCACCCCTATCGAGCATGGGCGCCCCCTATCGTATATTCCAGGGTTGGGCGCCAAATGTTTGGACCATTCGAAAACCCTCTTCCAATCGACCTGCTGCTGCTGCTGCTGCTGCTGCTGCTGCTGCTAGCGGTCTCGAGCACTCTGTCGAATCGCCTTCCTCCCCGGCAGCCGCCTCCTCCTTCTCCTCGCTGGTCATCGCTGATCCATTTCCTTAGCAAATGTGGCCGCTTGGGTTTCGCCTGCTTCTGTGAAGAGGCGGGACAGGAACGATGACAAGGGGAGGATGAAGAGGAGAGGGACCATTTCACTGCAATTCGACACTTTGCTGCAGCTCCGCTGTTGCACACTTTTAGCGCCAAGTGAGTTCCAGTAGTGTACACCATCATGGCGCACCCAAGTCACCTTGCCAAGTTCCCTTCACAACAGCACTGCTTATCCTGATTCTCTCCAGTCTCACCTGATATTCCACGTCTCCCTCGTCCTCATCATCTCTGCTCTGCGCCTTCACTAGCTCGTCGGCCGTTGAGTCTGGTCAGACCCTCTTCCGCCTCCTTCGATGCCTCCACATTATCACCCTCAGCCTCCTCGTCGTCCTTGTCCTCCTTCCTCCCTTCTTTTTCCCTTCCGATTCCTCCTCTCGGAAGCCAGGCAAGGGCTGCTAAATCCGTGTTTGTTAAAATCGACCTCCGGGAAGTTGTCTTCGTCCTTCCAGGAAGAAGCCCGTTGACAGTTTCGCGTGCCGCGCCTCATTCCTGGAAGTTGTTTTTTCCTTCCGGGAGGGCCGACAGCCGCTGTTTTGGCAGCCCTCGCCCAGCTTCCAATGCTCTCCATTATTCCTTCTTTTCCTTCCGCCCTCCTTCCTCCCTTCCTCCTTCCTTCCTCCCTTCCTCCTTCCTCCCTTCCTCCATTCTTCCTTCAAGTGGTTTCTTCTTCGTTGCCCTCCTACCTCCGAGGCGGAGAATGACGACGACGACGACGACGACGACGACTCCGACGACGTTCACAACGACGAGTGCGACGACTGCGCTGGCTCCTTCTGCCTCCAGAGTCCCCCAGATTTCCTCGGAGGCCCCCAGGGGTCCCTAGAGTCAAGTCGGGCCTGTCCCTCTACATGGGGAAAATTCTAAATAGTCAAACAATGACGGCCACGACGGACGGCGACGGCCACGACGGACAACGACGACGAGGAGTGGCGCACCCCGGTCGACCCCGAGACCTTTCTCCCTGAGAGCGTCCCGGCCAGAGTCTCGGGGCGGACTTGGCCGTGGCGACGACGGCCGCCCCGCAGGCCCCCGGAAGCTGGGGCCGGACGACGCCCGCGAGCCTCGAGCGCCCATGCTCGATTTCCGCTTCGACGACGACGGACGACGGTCGACGACGGACGTCGACGACTGACGACGGAGGCAGCACGACGAACGGCTTCTACGACGACGACGACGTCGACGACGACGACGTCGACGCTGACGACGACGACGACGACGACGGCCGCGACGACGACGGACGGCGGACGACGACGACGACGACGACGACGACGACAACGATGACGGCCACGTCGACGACGGGCGCGACGACGACGACGACGACGGCCACGACGGCCGCGACGACGACGACGATGCCGACGACGACGACGACGCCGACGACGACGACGACGTCGACAACGGCCACGACGCCGACGACGACGCGGCCCGACAGTGGCTGGGTCCGCGCGCGCGCGCGCTCGACGGCGCGAGAGCGCACCCCCGCCGCGCTCCCCTGGGGGAAGGCGCCCTCCGCGAGGAGCTGCGCTGGATGCAGGAGCCACCGCCGCCGCCGCCGCCGCTGTCATCGTCGTCCCCTTTGGTGGAGAGCGAGGCGAGGAAGCGAGGATCGGGGAATGGGGAATGACATACACATAATAACCCGGAGGCCGTGGCGGATCTCTCGGATCCGCGCTGGAGCTCCCTTGGCGGCGCCTCTGGCGCCGCCCCTGGCGCGCTCCGCACGCCAGGGAGGGGGGTCCAGCGCGGTTTTTCTCGTTAGGAGAAGGCTTTCTCAGAAGGCGGGCTGGGCTTCGCAGTAGTCCCCCGGCCTTCTGAGAGGTTTTCTGTGCCTTCGGGGAAGGCTCAGAAAACTTCTCTGGAAGGTCAGGGGACTTCGAGCCTTCTGAGAAGGCCCGCCCCCTCTCACTTCTCCCGCGGAAGAATAAGCCACCGCCGGAGGCTGCTTGCTGTTTTTTCGGCCTCCAGGGGCTTTTTCGCCATGGCCCGGGACCGCCAAGTCAAGGCCGGGGACGGAACAGAAACGGTCCCGGGGGAGGGGTCCAGGCCTCTGGGGGATCGAGGTCGTGAAGAGAGACGACGTCGGAGTCCTGGGTTTTGTTCGAGGGCCGAGGATGCTTGAGGGCTTCTTTGAGGCGAACCCTCGTGGGCGCGGCCGCATCCGCCACGACGTCCTCCCCAGAGCGCGCTCCGCGGGAAGGTCCAGGGTTCGACTGTCGTCGTCGCGACGACAGGGAGGAGAGGATGGGGAAGGGGGCGGGTGGAGAAGGTCTACGAGTTTTCCGCCGCCCTCGCCCTCCGTCATCGTCGTCGTTCGCCTCCGTCGCTGCGGCCATTGTCGTCGTCCTCGTCGTCGTCGTCGTCGTCGCCGTCGCCGTCGCCGTAATCGTCGTCGCCGACGTCTGTGCTCCGCAGTGCGCTGCCCATCTCCCAGATCCAGGGGGCGGCGCCTCGCCCTGCCGCGAGCGCCTCGCCCGCCGCCGCCGGCCGCTGCCTCTCGCGCCGCCGAGGGGGGGGGGGGTTCTCCAGCGCCTCGCCGGAGGAGGCCTATCGGCCTCCCCTGTCGCGGGCGCGGGCGCGGGCTCGGGTTCGGGCCTTGTCGGGCGGGTGGTCATTGGGGGGTGGCCCGAATGCGCCGAGCGCGTTCCACTGCTCGCAGAGTGCGTACTCGCAGACGCCCGAAGCATGCACGTCTGCTTCGATGTCATTTCTCGCAGATCCCCCCCGGCGGATGCAGGCCATTTGCGAGCAGCTGCTTTGCGAGTAGTGGAACGCGCTCGTCGACAAATGGGGGGCGAAGAAGAATGCCCCCAAAGGGGCCCTTGAGGGCCCCTTTCGGGCACCAGCTGGCCCCAGGAGGGCCCTGGAGGGCCCCTCTGGGGCTCTTCTCTTCACCCCCCGTTTGGGTCACCCCCCACTGACCACCTGCCCGACCTTGGACCTTGGGCCCGGGCTGGGGCCCGCCCGCGGGCTCGGGCTCGGGCGCGTCCTGACGCTCGAGCCGCGCGGCCCCTCTCCTCCCCGCCGAGGCCCCGCCGCCTCCTGGGGGGCGACTCCGTGAGCCCCATGCCGTCCGGAGGTGGGGTGGGGGAGGGGAGGGGGAGGGAGGACCAGAATGCGGGACGAGGGGGGAGAGGGAGGAGGGAGGAGCAGGGAGTGGAGGGAGGAGAGAAGGGGGTACGCAGATGGAGGACGAGGCGGACCGTGGGAGCCGGGATGATGATGGTGATGATGATGATGATGATGATGATGATGATGCTGATGCTGATGCTGATGCTGATGCTGATGATGATGACGAGGATGAGGATGAGGATGAGGTTGAGGATGAGGATGAGGATGATGATGATGATGATGATGATGATGATGATGATGATGATGATGATGATGATGATGATGATGATGATGATGATGATGATGATGATGATGATGATGATGATGATGATGATGATGATGATGATGCTGATGATGATGATGATGATGCTGACGATGATGATGCTGCTGCTGATGATGATAAGGATGATGATGAGGATGATGATGATGCTGATGATGGTGCTGATGATGGTGATGCTGATGATGATGATGATGATGATGATGATGATGATGATGCTGAGGAGGAGGATGTTGATGCTGATGCTGATATTGATGATGATGCTGATGCTGCTGCTGATGCTGATGCTGATGCTGTTGATCATGATGTTGTTGAGGATACTGTTGATGCTGCTGCTGCTGACGGTGATGGGTGATGGTGATGGTGATGGTGCTGCTGATGGTGCTGGTGCTGGTTCTGCTGATGATGATGAGGAGGAGGATGCTGACATTGTGGCTGATGATGTTGACGCTGGCGATGATGCTGAACATGATCATGATCGTGTTCATGGTGATGCTGATGCTGATGATGCTGCTGTCGTTGATGATGATGGTGATGATGAGGAGGATGAGGATGAGGATTGGGATGCTGACGACGATTATGATGCTGATCGTGATGATGATGGTAATGATGATGAAGTTTTTGCTGCTGATGATGCTGCTGCTGCTGATGATGATGATGATGATGATGATGATGATGATGATGGCGATGACAGCGATGGCGACGACGATGACGAGGAGAAGGAGGATGAGGAGGAGGATGAGGGAGGGACAGAGACGATAGAGAAAGGTGTATCGTCTGTCTCCGCGATCCACTACGAGCTCGAGATTTAGGGCGGGCGATGGGCCGCTCAGAAAGAACCGCTGCGGATTACCGACGCCCGCTAGAACCAAGGGGAGACTGTGGGGAGGTTTGGTGTTTGATCATGCGCCCCACGTAGTGCAGCTTCCGCTCGGCACACTGTCATAGATCGCCGAGGCCGCCGAAGGTTGCCTAGGGCCGACCAGTCCTGTAGGCCTGCGCCGCGTCGACGCGCAGTAACCCCAGCGCGGGCGTTCAAGGTTGAACGCCGCTGGCGGTCTGCAATCAGCCACAAGATCTGCGCTGGCGGAGGGCCACGATCATACAAGGCTGAAGGTCCGCACGCTGCCAGACACCAGCGCAAAAGGCGCCACGATGCAATTGTGCCGTGACAAAGGGTTTTTTGGTCGAAACTGTGGCACCAACCAATTACAACGCACAGTGTTAAGTCGAACGATACTCGCATGGGGGCAGATACCATGTCCCTGTGCGGATTGGCGACAAGATGGGTCAACATGGGTGTTTTCTCGCATGGGCGTCATGCGCTTCAGTAGTTCAGCTCGTGTCAGCGGGCAGTACGTTGCTCGTGACGTCGTTCCTAGCGCAGGGTATTTGCGCGCACGCTTCCTGCGATGATGTCTCGCCTCCAGGAGGTGAGCAGGAGGAAGACGAGGGGGAGGAGGAGGAGGAGGAGGAGGAGGAGGAGGAGGAGGAGGAGGAGGAGGAGGAGGGCCTTCTTTTATGAGCAGATGCCCCTCAGGAGGTGAGACTTTTCGACGTGCCGCTAGGCGGGCCTCTCTTTTCTCGGCTGCTCTGCCTCCTGCTTTTGCGCCCCGGGAGCGGGAGGGAGGGAGGACGGGAGCTGAATGCTCACGGTGTGCGTTCGTACAGCCAGGGCGCCGAAGAAGGAACTCTTTTCGTTGGGGAGGGGCTCGGGGTTCCTTACTTGTTCCACACCCTGCCCGAGGTTTTACTTGCGTCTTGACGGGACGTCGAAGTTTGACTCATGAGAAAATAAGGGGCACCGTTCCTTATCTAGGGTTCCTTAGGTCAACCCCTCGACTGTGCTCCATGTTCTCTCCTCCTCCTCCTCCTCCCCCTCCTCCTCCCCTCCCTCTCCTCCTCCTCAGCCTCCTCCTCTTCCTCCTCCACCTCCACCCCCACCTCCTCCTCCTCCTCCTCTTCCTCCTCCTGCTCCTCCTCCTCCTCCTCCTCCTCCTCATCCTCGTCTTCCTCCCCCTCCTCCTCCTCCTCTTCTTCCTCCTCCTCCTCCTCTTCCTCTTGCCTCTTGCCTACCCAGAGGGCGGTGTCCATATGGCCGAGCCCCTATATAAAAATTCGGAGGGGCCCCTCAGAACTTGTCACTCACCGACTGGGCTGCGATCCACCCAGCCAGAGAGCCGCGACAGGGCTCCCTCCCCAAATCAGAAACGCAACTGGGGGCGGGAGCTCCAGCTGAGGTTCTGGCTCAGGCCAGGCTTTGATATCCCTCGGGAGCCTCCCCGCCTCCAGCGCTTTGAGAACTCTCTCCCACTGCTCCGAGATCTTCTCTAGGCAGGGCTTGGAGAGCTTAACACAAGTGGAAGCTGCGTAGCCCCCACATCCACGGCACCAACAGACGCCCCGAAACCTCTGGAGCCTCTGGTGGGACGGATGGATCCTCGCAGGGAGCCCAGGGCACTCCGAACGGAGCCAGTCCTCCGCAGCCCCCGACGGGGCCGTGAGGCATTTGGAGCACCTGAGGGCTTTGCTAGAGGAACTGTCCATCAAGCAGTGGGACGTGCTGGAACACAGCGCCGAGAGGACCTCCTCCTCCTCCTCCTCCTCCTCCTCCTCCTCCTCTTCCTCCTCCTCCTCCTCCTCCTCCTCCTCATCCTCCCCCTCTTCCTCCTCCCCCGCCTCCAGGGGCCCGTCTCTGGGCTCGAGGAGCCCGGGTCGCCCGCTGCACCGACCAGGCTCTCTCCTTCGGGCCCGACCTGCGCGCCGACGGCCCAGGTTAGCGACCTGGGTGCGGCGCTTGACCTTGAGCTGGAGGGTTTCTCCGAAGGGCTGTGGCGACCCGTCCTCCTCCTCCTCCCTCCTCCTCCTCCCTCCTCCTCCTCCTCCTCCTCCTCCTCCTCCTCCTCCTCCACCTTCACCTCCTCCTCTTCCTCCTCCTCCTCCTCCTCCTCCTCCTCCTCCTCCTCGGGTCGCCTACGGCTCCTGGGGAACCCGGTCACCTTGAGCGACCACGCCGACACCGATCATCTCCGTAGGTCCTCCTCTCCTCCGTCCGCGTCGCTCCCCTCTCCCCTCTCCCCCGTTCCTCGTCCTTCACCGCCCCCATCCCCCCGCCCCCATCGCCCGTCTCGCCTGCACACTTACGCAACCTGAGTATGCTAGCCGGCGTGGGCCCCAAAGAGTGTGCTCCTAGGAAGATATGCTGTACAATTTTTGTGGAGCAGTCTGTGATGTCGTGCACCATCTCGAAGGCGCCTACTGCGAATCATTGTCGCCCCCTGCCTTTTTGGATACACCTATGTGGCCAAACGTTTAGGCAAAGTTTGGCCACGCTATTGGACCATGCGTTCACCTAACCGTTGTGGAAGCCCTTCGGGGAACACGCGGGGGAGGAAGAGGAAGATGAGGATGAGGAAGGAAGACGGAGGACGAGAAGAAGGATGAGGAGACATCTTGGGAGCCTCTTGTGCCACCCTAGGGGCCTCCTGGGAGCTTCCTGGGGGCCTCTTAGAGGCCTCTTGGGGGCCTCCTTGGGCCTCTTGGAGATCTTTGGGGACTTCTTGGGGGGCCTCTTTGGCCGTCTTGCGGCGTTCCTGGCCCGTCCGACGCCGTCGGAAGCCGTCTTCGGAGCCCCTCTAAGCCGTCTTAGGGGCCCATCTGGGGCGCTTCGGGGGCGTCGTCGTGGCGGCCATTTCTTGGGCGTCTTTGGAGGCTTCTTTGGCTGTTTTCGGGGCCCTTCGGAAGCCGTCTTGGGAGCCTCTTGGGCCGTCCTGGGGCCACTGTGTGATCGTTCTTGCATTCATTGTTTTACCGATCGGCACGGGCCCCCCCATGGAGTAGATCTTGGCTGTTTTGGGCGCCTGTTTCAGGCAGGTGGAGTCTCCCCCGTAGGACGCACTGCTGCAAAGCAGTCGCATTCAGCAGAGGTCCGGAGCCAGACCCCCAGACCCCCCCTCCCCCTCCTCTTCCGCCCAATGTCGAAACGCCGAATACAGAAACGCTCACTTTGGAGGCCTATTGGGAGATCTTGGCGCAATATTGGGAGCCTCTTGGGTCGCGTTGGGCCGTCGGAAGGCCGAAACGAATTACAAGGCGGAATCCCTAAAGCACCTGAAGAACTTCAATGGTTGTGACTTCTTCGGGCCCTCCTGGAATACCTCTTGGAGGTCTCTTGAGCCGTCTTGAGGGCCTGTTGTGGGCCTCTTGGGCTGTCGTGGAGGCGTCTTGGGCAGACTTGGAGGCATCTTGGACCCTCTTGGGCCGTCTAGGAGGACATATTGGACCATCTTGGGCAAACATCTGGGCGATCTTGGCCGTCTTGGAGGCCTCTTGGAGGCCAGTTTAGGCCATTGTGGAGCGGACAGGCGACCACCCGGGCATCGCGAGCAGTCTTCCGGGTGGTCTGCGGCATCGGCGGAAGCCCCAGGGGGGAGTTCTAAAAGAAGCAACAACCTCCTGAACCTCAGCACGCCAGGCACCCCTGTGATAACTCAACAGGGGGCGGCGGATGACGGAAAGCGCGCGTAGCGTCGCGATCTGACAGCGTGAGCAGTGGATTTGACAGTTCATTGCGAACTGACACGACTTGCATCACATACACTGCGTCGCACAGATTGCACCACATAGGTTGCAGCGCATGTACTGGCCCACATAGTTTGCTCACACTGGCGTGCTAGAAATTCTCTGTTTGGGGCCCACACGGGCCAACACATGGTATATATGTTGTGATATTTAGGTGGGGCAATATACGTGATGCAATCCACGTGGGTCAATCTATTTGGTGCAGCCCGTGCGGGAAATCGGCGTTTTACCATTCATGTTGTGCAACTTTGGTTGTGGGCTGGAGTGGGCTCATAGTTATAATGAGCAGTGGGGCAGGAACATCTGTAATGTTTGATGCTTCGCGTAGTGCACGCACTGGCTTCACTGATACGGATACGGTGTGCACGCACTGGCTTCGGCTGAAGGTGGCTCAGCCTCGTGAACGCACACCAGTGGTTTCGTCTACTGAATGGCTTCGACGCGGATGTAGCTTCAGTGAGCCTTGATGAGACAGGCCTCTCTTGCCGCACCATCGTTACTCATGGTACCGCAGTGTGCCTGTGGTTGTCGCTCGCTTTCGCTCTTTCTCCCCCCCTTCCGTGGCCGTGGTCTGCCCGGCACTGTGCCCTAGCATGCAGGCTTCGCTTGGCAATGGCCATTCGGACCCTCGTGTTGCACTGTGCCTCGCCGCTGTCCTGGCCTCTTCTCCGTATGTGGGTCGGCTGGAGCTTGGCGCCGCAAGTGCGACTTCTCCCTCCCGTTCCACCGCCGGTTACCGCGCCTCTGTGCCGGTCACCCGCTGTCGCTGGTTGCGTCTCAATGAGGGGCATTTTGTCCCTGGCATGTGCACACGCCACTGCGGCCAATTTACATCGTACCGCGCCCCGGACGTTGTGCCCGCTCCCTGGGCTTCTCCTTGGAGCCGCGAACCAAACAAGTATCCCCACCAGCCCATCCAGAAACAGATCGCCAGGCGAGTTGCCTTGATCAGAGAAGTGTAGAAGTGTAGAAGCGTGCCGTGTAACAGCCGCCTTGGAAGCGTTTTCTAGGAGGCTCTCCTGAGGCCTCTTGGAGGTGATCCTGAGCCATGCGCAGGCGTCTAGAGGGGGCTTGGAGGTGAGGCTATCTTGATATGCTCGACCTTCTGGGACCGTCTTGGTGGTAGGAAGAGGAGCAGGACGAAGAGGAAGGAGGACTAGGAGGAGGAGCAGGAGGAGGAAAAGGAAAGAAGGACGAGGCGGGGGAGAGGAGGACGATGATGAGGAGGAGGAGGCGGAGGAGGAGGAGGAGGAGGAGGGACGCGGCACGAGTAACATGAGGAGGAGGAAGAAGGAGGAGGCAGGAAAGGGGGAGGGAAGGAACGGACGATGACAAGGAGGATGAACTGTCGGGCTTTGGATGTATGTTGTTGTGAGAGGTGCTTGAAGGACTACGAAGGCCATCTCATGGGCTCTCCCAGGGCACCCGTTGGGCTTCGTGGGGCGCTCTTGGGGTCCTCGGAGGCCCATCGGAGGCGAAACGGCGAGAAGGCAACACACACTGATTTGCCTCAGGTGTTGGACCCATTTTGGCCTCTTGGGGGGGTCCTTGAAGGGCTCGGGGGGCACCCGACACCATTTCGGGACAGTCTTGAGGCCTCTTGAATGTGCGTCGGCTGCTATCTTGAGCCATCTAGAGGTATCTTGAGCCATCTTGGAGGCCATCGTGCGCTCTCTGAGGCCTTCTTGAGCCATCGTGCGTTATGCGCTCTAACCCTTCGCGGGGCGCCCCGTCTGGACCCAAGGAAGGTGGTAGGGGGAGGGGTCAAGACACCCTCCTAGATATCAAGCCGTCTAGCTCACTCCCACCCGCCCTCCCAACACATAAGTCGCACCCGAGCCTCAGCATGTTCAGCGGTCGTTTTTGGATGGGCAGCCACTGGGAACCAAAACCGACCCCATGCGCGCGACGCTGGGGCGAGATGCGCCAAGCGTGCCAGGCGCGCCACGCGCACCAGGCATCCCTGGGGCTCCAGCGTGCCAGTCAC